TGAGCTCCAAACAACAGATAGAAGAAACGCAAGGCAACACCAAATCACACATAATAAAAGGGGAGCTAGTAAAAGTAGCGTCGTGGTTACGAATCGAGCTGTTAACCTCAAGGTCAGCAGTTTGAAACTATCAGCTGCTCCGTGGGAGAAAGAGGAGGCTTTCTGCTCCTGTAAAGATTTACAGCCTCAGAAAGCCTGTTCAGGGTCGCTATCGGTCGGAACCGACTCGACGGCACTTAACAACAACAACAACAACATATCACATTTAAGCAGCTCTGGTAGCGTCGTGGTTACGAATTGGGCTGTGAACCTTCAGGTCAGCAGTTCGAAACGACAAGCTGCTCCGCGGGAGAAAGATGAGGCTTTCTGCTCCCGTAAAGATTTACAGCCTCGGAAACCCTGTACAGGGTCGCTATGGGTCAGAACCGACTCCACGGCACTTAACAACAACAACAACATACCACATTTGGATTATTGTCACACTATTTCAGACTTTTCATAATGTAGGGTCAGCACTGGACTGTGATACCAACTGCTAATCGGAAATCGGATTTATCCAGGGTTGCTGTCAGTTGAAGCGGACTCTGCGACACTTACTAATATCAATGTGCACCCTAACACACGTCTGCAACCTAGTGTACACCAACTTGTAGACACTGGGAAACCAAATGGGACCCGCAGTGTCTCCAAGGCTGTACTGTGAGGATGGTGTACAAGGTTCACTTCCAATCTCCCTGCTCTCAGATCTTTGGCAAGTATATCTAGCAGTGGGATTGCTGGACTATGTGGTAATTCTACACTTTCGGGGGAACCACCCAATTGTTTCCCACAGCAGCTGCATCCCACCAGCAATACACGAGTTCCAATTTGCCTGCGTCCTCGCCAACACTTACGCTACACTTTTCCATTTTTGGAAAAGTAATAGTTATTCTAATGGGCATGAAGTTTGGTTTGTTTTTTTAGAATGATTTTTAAAGTTAGATCAAGTCATTACATCCATTAGTAATTCAGGCGTGGAGTCCTGATGTGGTCCTGTAGGGTACACACTGGACTGTTAACCTCAAGGTCAGCGGTTCAATCCCACCAGCCGTTCCTCAGAAACCCTATGCTCAAGGCACTTAACAATTAAGGCTGGGGTGGGGGTGGGGATAATGCCACTGGTCTCGTGAGCTATGACCACTGCCCGCTCCAGACTTGCTCTGACCTTTCCACCAGTCCTGTGACTCTTACCCTCTGAGGTCTGAGCCACCTTTTGGTCTCTTCAGATTGGATGTGGCGATTCCTGTTGATTTTCATTTCAAACCTCCATGTGTCTGTAGCTGGTGGCTTTGACGGGAGTCAGGCCTTAGAGACTTTAGAGTTGTCCCCAAAGATTCTCATCCACAGAATGAACGAGGTAGAGCGGGCACCCATCTGTGGGTTTTCAAACGGATTTCAAATTAGTTGCAAAGATGGAAAAACTTGGTTACTTGTTCAGGAGCCTGGATACATAGTTTGTTACTCCACTCTCTGCATTCTTGTGTAGACCTGAACATTTCCTTAAGAAGACATTTTTTAAAAAGCCCTGTTTGACCTAAATACATAAATCAATGAAATGGGTTGCAGTTGTCTGGTGTGCTGTTTGATAAAACTCCAAATATGGCCTGTATATTCGAATGGTTCAGTCCCTGGAGAAAGACGTCATGCTTGTTAAAGTGGAGGGTCAGCGAAAAAAAGGAAGACGCCCCCAATGAGATGAACTGGCACAGTGGCAGCAGCAATGGGTTCAAACTAAACAACTGTGCGGATGACGCAGACCAGGCGGTGTTTCGTGCTATTGTGTGCAGGGTCACTGTGAGTCGGAACTGACTTGATGACCCCTAACAACAACAAACCTGAGCAAATCGGCTGCCTTGCTTTTCGGGATCATCACTCTTCTATGAGAATGTGGTGGCTCTGTAGGATGAGCACTGGAGTGCAAACCACAAGGTTGGTAGTTCGAGCCCACCAGCCACTCCTTCAGAAAGAGATGAGGTTTTCTGCTTCCAACCCTATATAGGGTCCCTATGAGTTGGAACAGACTCAATGGCACTTGACAACCACCACCTTTCTATTAAGAACCCCACCTCATTTTAGTTTTGAGTATTTCTTCCGCCTTTCGAAGTTTTGATCATCTGCTGAACCTCTTCCTTCCTATGTTGCACCATGGGGAGAAACCTCTCAGATAGACCCACAGGCAGCGATATGGCATGGGTGGCATTTAATACTTTGGGGCTTAGATGTAGATATGACATTGGTGTGTTCCACCCACTTTTTAGTGCTTCAAGGAGGCGCTGGTAAGTTCATTCTTGGTAACTAGGCAGTAGCTGTACAACGTGGAAAACCAGCCCTCCCCTCCCCTTGTCACTGGAATGACAGGCTCTACACATGGGCCAGCAGCTAGCTCAGGGCTTCACATACATCACCGTGAGAGAGCCAACATTCTCTTTGATAATACTGTTTATTGTCCAATGACTGAACGGTCACTCAAAGTACAAAGTATCAGATACATGCACAATCTGCTTGTCGTTTTGCAAAAACAAAAACAAAAAAAACCCCAAACAACCAAAAACAAAAAAAAAAAAACCACCCCCAAAAACTCTCACTGTGTCCCCAGCACAAGAAGGTCTCAGATTTCATATTCCAGAAAACAAAACCAAACCAAAAACATATTGTCAAAAAAGAAACACCAAACAAAGTCCACAAAGCTTTAAATTATGGTAGCAAGTCTGATCTTTCTTAATACGTATCAAGCAAAGATTTGAAAATAACTATTATGTAAACTTTATTTTAAATATTTTGAGTTGCTTTGCGTGAAGAAAAGAACCGAGGGAGGAGAGAGCAGTGCTTAGAATACAACGCATAAATTAAACCACGCCAAATGGAGGTCCTCTGTAAACTATATATATATATATATATAGCAATTATTTACTGTGAAGGTATTTGAGTGGCTCTGCCTCTTGGCTGCCCCTGGGCACTTAGACTTGATCTTGCTTGGCTTGTTTGGTCAGAAAACCAAAGGGCATGGACCAAATAAAACAGGGCATCTTTTAGCATTAACCTACTCAAAGATGCTTTGCTGTGTAATTACTGGAACCAGTGAACAAAAGCTGGGAAGAGAAGCAATGATACTTAAAGAACTCAGTCTGAAGAACTCCTTTGTACTTTATGACATGGTATCCACTCTGGATCAAATGTCTCCAGGATGCCAAAACCATTCTCTCTCTCTCTCTCTCTTTTAATTGCAATTTTTAAAAAGTGCAAGTCTAACACCTACCAAGGGTAATAAAAAAAAAACAAAAAAACACAGCACAAAAATGATTACAGCGAATGTCAAAAACCAACCAAAACATTAAAAAAAAAAAATCATTTCAGCAGAAACAGGAGTACATGTTACATATGATATCACCATACAGGAAGCAAACAGGGTGGGGTGCTATACTGCAGTGATTAGACGGGTCTGGCTTTCTGGGATATATTGAAATCACAAGGACTGGTCCACCGTGACACCTTACAAGCTATTAATGTTCAGCACGAAAACGCCCTTGGAGCCAGGGCTGATTTCAGTTGGTCTCTCGTCTGCCGTGGGAAGAGAAGTCTTTAAGATCTATGCTGACCAGGCTCCAGGCAGGCATGGGGGCTGCATGCCGTTTGGGGCGGTCAGGAGTCTTATAAGTGGTAATGGGGTCGCTGCAGAGTGGCACAGGGTTAGAAGATTCTCACTTTGGATGCATTTTGTAGAAGGCTGTCAGCTTTCAGTGTGTGTGCACATTTGTGTATATGTATTTATTTATAATATGCAGGCCTGTCCTCAGAACACCTTATCTTTACAACCCCAGTGGGAGGGGGCTCTCTTGACTGCATCTCTAGTATGATTGAACAAGTTTGCTCTCAGAGGGTTACTTCCAGGGAACAGATGGATTCCCTAGTTCCCAAAAACATTTCTTTATGGGGTAATCTTGGTGATACAAGAAACATAAGCTACCGAGGTGCACTGACTATCTGAGAATCAATGTTCTGGAAAGGGAGATGCTTCTGAAAGCAGGCCGCACTGACCTGGCAGCCCCAGTGAGAGAGGAGGCCATCTCCCTCTCCCATCCATTCCTTCCTAGGGGGACTTCGCTTACAGAAATCCATGTGCGGAGCAGCGATGGTCAGTCTTTGGGGGAGAGGACACTAAGCTTGGGACATCTGGTGGTGGTCTTAGGATGTGCAAACGGGGTATATAGTCACCCCCTGCACCCAGCCCCAAACAAAGGAGGAGGGGTATGGATGACCTCAGAGGCCCAGGAATGAACTCTAAGGGACCAGCCAAGTGTCCCTCCAGGACCCTGCCAGTGGGGCAGAATCATGCAGGTTCCCACCACCCTGTGTGTCTGTGTGTGTGTGTCTGCGTGTGACAGGGGCGAGCGCTGGCAGAAACAGCTCACACAAGGCTCCGCGAGAGCCTTCCTCCTACATCTCTCCATGCACTACCCCCTCAACGAGGAGTTCTGTGATTGGTGGATTTAGGGCTTCTTCGTGAACAATCTGCAGGGTCATCTTGTGGGTTTGTGGGTGCTGCGGGGAGAAATGCTGGGACTGGTAAGGGGCGGGGACTGCCGCTTTGGGGGGGGGGTGAGAGGAGTGTGTGTAAGCTGCGTGAAGTGAGGGACATGCCCCTCTCAAGACGAAAGGGACCTGGGTAGGCCTGCTACACAGTCTTGCAACGACCCTCAAGGATTTCTGCAAAATGCCCATTTCCAGGCCAGGGAGCCCCCAAGTGCTGCCCGCTCTGAGCGGTCAGGGCACCGGATGGGTCCTGGGAGGGGTGTCCGTGTGTCCCATCCCCGCACCTAAGGACCGAGGCCTTAGGCTGGGGGAGGTGGCGCGGCGTAAGACCCCGCCCACCTCTCCCTCCGGACGCACAAGCAGGTTGAAAAGGAAAACGGGGCGGGGCAGAAATCACACTAATTTGGGGTCTCCCCGCCTCCCACGACTGCTGTTCATGCTGTTCCCAGGAAGGATGTCAGAGCTGGACCAGTCTAGACTCTCGGAGGCTTCTCGTCGGCCGCTTAGGGGTCCTCGATGTCGAGAAACTCCTGCTTGGGGGGCGCGGTGCCGCGGTACCAGGCGCAGGAGCCGTCGCTCCTCTTGATGCAGGCGAAGAACCGGGCCTGGTGGCCGTTGATGTTCTTCTCCGTGACCCAGTCCATCCATAGGCACTCGTCCGGCGAGGAGATGTAGCAAGGGATCATGGGGCAGCGCGTGATCTGGGGAGACAGTGGGGGCACACACACCACTGAGCAGGGCACAGCGGAAGGTCGGGTGGCACCGGAGCCTCTCCCGAGGCCCCACTTCCCAAAGCAGAGAGCAGAGGTGGTCTAGGACAAAGGTGGGAGCCTGTGCAGACTGCCCGTAGTAAGACTGCCTTAAAAGTCTCCTCCACTTTGAGCCACCTTGTCTACATCCTCTGAGCCTAACCCTGACTTCCACTTACCTCCTGTCTTCTGGGGATACAACAACAACAACAACAACATGAACGCTACTGTTGCTAGCTGCCATCAAAGCCTCCGTGGACAGACAGGCCGTGGCCTGTGAATTGCCCTGACTGGGAATCGAACTGAGGTCTCTAGCATAAAGGGCAAGAATTCTACCACTGGGCGACCAATGTCTCTGCAGCAGTCATATAGCACCTTGGTTTCCCTGAAGTCACGTGTGAGTAGCGTATAAAAGGCCTGTAGCTTGTTCTGTGGCTGGGCGCCAGGAAGAATGGATATGCAGGGACCATAGGGTTCACAGCAGTGTGGAAAGAGCTCCCTCATTTTTGCCTTTATGAGTTCTCCTGGGCACATTTGGAATCTAAGAGGCCATAATTCACATGTGGAATGTGACAACTCTCCTACTCAGGAAGTGACGCAGGGGTGGGTGTGACCACAGTCCCAAGAAGGGGGACCTGGAACCCAGGAAGCCCTTCTGTGCTGACTGGAGGGTGATCATGATGGCAGGGTGTAGGGAGATGGCAGAATCCAACTCCGGGGGTCCTGTCAATCCAGCCTCCTCTGGCTGCATTTAATCTTCAAGTCTATCTCACCTGAGCCTCACCTTTGTCTCACCTGAGTGTGGCACAAGCTCTAGGCCAGTTCTGAGAAGTGGGTAGGCATCTAAGTTGCTCTTGACACACAGACTTTGAGTGTGCAAATGCTGGCAAAGGGTAACGAAGTGGGGTTGGGGGTTTGGGAGTGCGTGCACAGACACACTGATGTTCATCATTTGTACTGTTGATCCCACAGGGCTGAGTCCTGGTGTGGTGTTGAGGCAAAGCACTGAACTCCTAACTGCAAGGTTGGCTGTTCAAACCCACCAGCAGCTCCCCGGAAACCCTACACAGGGTTGCTATGAGTCAGAACCAACTCCACAGCACTTAACAATGGTCCACAGGGGCCATGTTCTCTCCATAACGTCCCTCTGCAGGCCAGGCGCCCAACAGCGAGCAGAATGAACGACGACATAAGGGAAGTAAACAGAGGCTGGGGTGGGGCAGAGAAGAGTCTTCCTGAGCCCCACACTCCCCAGAGCAGCAGCAGGAGCCCACAGACCACGTGGCTGCGTGAGGGTGGGCATCCGCCGTCTCCCTCATGATCCAAGTACCCTCAGTGTCCTCCAGGGCTCAGGGCCACCCCCAGCCTGCTCCAGATGCCCCTATATTCACAATCTTAAATCAGGACTTGGAGAGAGAGAAGTGCCCCCCAAAGCCAACTGTCTACCTGGTGCCTGCAGCAGGTGTGGGTGTCTGCTTACCTTGCACTCACAGCCCATCTGATACCTGTGGTTCAGGCTCTTCTTCTGGGTGGTACTCAGGGTGTCCCAGGGCACAATGAAGTCACAGAGGGTAATGTGCATCTTACCATTTCCTTCTGCCTTCCCTGTGGAGAGAGAGGACCCAGCTCAGGGTGAGCACACACCCTAACCCCCTGCCCCACCTTGGGGGTTGAGGTTTCGTTTACATGGCAACTGGGGTGGTTTATGCTGAGTTCAGAAACCATAAGAACTCACAGTGGGAACTCTGGAAAATGCAGGCAAGAACAAAGGGTTGAAAAAGCTACCCTTCTTTTATCACATACAGTTCACATTAGGAGTCCTGGGGTAGTACTGGACAGCAAGGTCGGTGGTTCAAAGTTACCAGTCGCTCCTTGGAAACTATATAGGGTCGCTATGAGTCGGAACTGACAAAAAGGCACTTACCAACAGCTCACATTTTGATTCATTTCCTTTCAATGTTCTCTTATATCCCTATATTCACAATAGCCCAAACCCACTGCTGTCTGGTAGATTCTGAGCCAGAGACTTTGCAGGTTAAGAATAGAACTGCTTCATAGGGTCAAGGCTGTCATCTTTACAGAGGAGACCTGTGGTACTGTGAATTTACTTGATGTGGTTTTTCTAGCCAATGTCTTCTTAATTCCTACCAAGTGATTGGGAGGGACTAAGCAAATAAGGTGTACAGGACTCTAAGGCTGTGATTGGTTAGTTCTGCCATCCAGCTCGGTTTACAAGGAGCCATCTTAGAAGCAGGAACAGATGGTCCCAGGACCATCATGAAAGAGAAGCATGAGAGGAGTGGGAGATCCCTCCCTAAAACAGCGGTGACAGTAGAGGTGGCAGCATGGAGAGACAGCAGCTGAGGGCTCTAGGCCCATGGACCGAGTAAAGCTGAGTGCCCATGGGCAGGAGGCTGGTTTGCAGAATGTGCTCCTAGGCATTCACAGGCTGGTTAAAAGAGCTTTGTGATACTTGCAGGAGCAGGGCAGAGGCCAAGGGCCACAAGGCTGAGTGGTCCAAGACAAGAGTAAGGTGTGTCTGCTGTACGGCAGACAAGAGGCGTTTCTGGTTGGAAAACTGCTGCATTCTGAGTTGTTTTTTGATCCTGAATTTCACCCTGTTCAAGTCCCTAATAAACCCCATAATCGTGAGTTATTGTTACAAGTTCCGTGTGGCCATTGCAGTGGATGATCAAGCCCGGATGTGAAGCAGAGAGTGCTTGGTGTCAGTATAGGGTAAAAAAGGTTGTAGGGTGGAGGCATGGCATGTCTGACCTCTGCGTCACAGAAACAAGTGTTGGGCTGATTTTGAGTTTGATTCTCTTTCAGACATGGCGCCCACATGGTTTTTTCCAGTCCTTAAAGTGCTAGCCAAAAGGTTGGCTGTGTGAATCCAGCGGCCACACCACAGAGAGCAATGAAGTGGCTGCTTCCATAGAGATTTACCTTCATAAACGTCCTAGGGGGCAGGTCGACTCTGCCCTACAGGCTCGCTCTGAGTTGGAAATGACTCAGTGGTAGTGGCCTTGAGTTTTGTTCATCTTCCTCCCTCAGAATGGCTGGTGAGTATGAACTGCCAACCTTTGGTTAGCAGCCGAATGCTTAGCTCCTAACTAAAGGTCGGCAGTGCCACGGAGTCCTTGGAGGGACGGCTCTCAAAATGCACAGAGGGGGACCACCCAGTGACCCTGCCTCATAGTCAATCTCTGATAAAAGGGAGCAACCATTTCTACTAGCAGACTTCCCCTCTGTCAGTTTGTCACACTGGTCTTGAAGCTTCTATATTGAGACAGACCAGGAAGAAAGGCCTGGTGATCTACTTCCCCAAATCAGTCAATGAAAACTCGAGGGAGCACCACAAAATACTGTCCCATTACCGAGGCCCATGAAGGGAATGCTTTGTTCTATAAGACAGAGAACCAATGGCCTGTCAGTTAACAGCCCCACACTTAACACACTGTACCACCAGGGCCCTTGGTCCTTATGAACCAGACCCGTCAGAGGACGTGGATGATGGAAACACTGGATTTACGGGGATGATAAGATCCTGCCCCATGGGTGGGTGGGTCCCATTCTCCTCTCATCATAGGAGCTAGTCATTCTGCTCCTAGATACCTGGGGTGTAGCGAACTCTTTCAGGTGTCTCTTCTAGCCTTAGTAACTCCCACCAAATGTAGAAGAAAATACTGATCGTTATAAAAGCGATGTTGCTGTAGATTTCATTCCAACTCATCGCTACCTCAGGTGGCAGAGCTGAACTGCCCTAAAGGTGTATATAGGCTGTAACCAACCCTTCTGGAAACAGACTGCCAGGTCTTTCTTCAGCAGAGCTGTTGGGTCTGTTCGAACTACCAACTTTCTGGTTAGCAGCCAACTGCGTAACTGTTAGTGCACCAGCGTTCCTTATAAATGAAAACTTTAAAACAAATATTTTTAGCAAATACAAGAAAACATAAAAAAGGGAAGAAACCAACTCGAAATGCTGACAGACTCTTCTTTGCACATGCGGAATAGCCCAGGAAACGTGCCCTGCAACAAGGACACGGTCCCCCCGCCGCCTCTGCGCACCCTCCGGTGTTTTTTCCTTCTCTGTGTCATTCTGGGACTGGCACCATTGAGCTATTTTTGCACCATACGTGACCTTGTCCTCACACCCCTATTTCCTCTCACTGTTTTTTGGAAGTAATAGTGACTGGGTCATAAAACGGTACAGTCACTTGGGAAAACAGTCTGGTGAAAGGTTCCTCAAATAGTCAAACCTAGCATCAGCCTGGTGGTGCTGCTTGATCACCATGGGAGCTAGTCATTCCGCTCCTAGATACCTGGGGTGTAGCGAACTCTTTCAGGTGTCTCTTCTAGCCTTAGTAACTCGCACCAAATATAGAAGAAAATACTGATAGCATTCCATTATGAATGGTTGGTAACAGACCTGTGATGGGCGAAACTTGGAAGTCTAATATGTGGGTAAAAACCACCTCAGAAGCAGGAGGGTGGATCTCCGTACCAGAACACAAGAGTCAGGAGTGGAGCATCTCTTTGGATCCCGAGCTCCCTGCACACTGAACCGCCTCCTTCCAGGGACAGAAAGCTGTTACACCAGAGGAGGGGCAGAGGAGCAGCAGCAGCAGGACCAAGAGCCAGAGCACGGGACACAGCAGTGGGCATCCCAGCTCAGGGAACAGGAAAGCTGCGTGTCTCCAGGCACTTAACTGGAGGAGGGAGGTTTGCTGACCCTACAAGTTAGAGCACAGGGCCTTCAGGCTGAGGCTCGGAGTGATGTCCTACAGGCATTTATTAGCAGCCCTGGAAGAGATTTGGGAGTCCTGGTGTGGCGCTGTGGATTAAGGTGCCAGACTGCAAAGCCATTTGAACTGTAAGGTTGGCGGTTCAAGCTCACCAGCTGCTCCTTGGAAAGCTTACACAGGGTCACTATGGGTCGGAACCGACTCGACGGCACTTCACAACAACAAAAGAGCTCTGTAACATTGGTCAGGCAGAGAGGCCTGTCTGTGGGCATGGCTGAGGAGGCTTGTCCTGACTAGAACTGTGCCCTCCCTGGTTAACCCTAAAACCTCATCACTGTGAGTATGAACTGTGGAACCCAGCTGACAAGTAGACAGTGTTACTGAAAGGACTGTTGGTGTTTTTATGACTTTTTTTGTAAGACCCGAGAGACATGAAAACATATTCCCACACAAAAATTTGTACATGACCATTCACACAGCAGCAGTATTATCCGTAAGAGCCAAAAGGTGGAAACAATACATATCTCCACCAGCTGGTGAATGGACAAAGACAATGTGGTCTATCCCTCCGATGGGATAATCTAAGACAATACAAGGATGAACCCTGAACACATGACTCTCAGTGAAAGAAGCCAGACACAAAAAGACCACATATTATAGGATTCCATTCATGTGAAATGTCCTCAACAAGGAAATCAACAGACAGGAAGTTGCTCAGTGGCTGTTTAGCGATGGGGGAGGGGAGTGGTAATAGCTAACGAGTTGTTGCTAAGAGCCATCGAGTCGGTTCTGACCCATAGCGACCCTGTATAGGGTTTCCGAGGAGCAAGTGGCTGGTTTGAACCAGACCAGTGCTTATCCTACAGCACCACCTAATGAGTCGTTAAGTTCCATAAAATCGGTTCTGACTCATAGTGACTCTCTATAGGGTTTCCAAGGAGTGGCTGGTGAGATTGAACCACCAACCCTGTGGTTCAAACTGACCAGTGGTCCAGTGCTTACCCTACAATGCCACACCAGGACTCCATCTAATGGGTGTTGTTGTTAAATGCTGTTGAGTCGGTTATGACTCACCCTGTATAGAGTTTCTGAGGAGTGGCTGGTGAGTTTGAACCACTGACCTTGAGGTTCAAACCGACCCTACAGTACAGCACATTTACTCATACCACCACACCAGGATGCCACCTAATGGGTAGGGGGCTTCTTTTTGGGGTGATGACATTGACTGGGGTGATGGTTACTATATAGCTCTGTAAATACGCTAAAAAGCACTCAAATTGTATACTTGTGAATTTAATCTTAAGAAAGTTGTTAAAAGTGATAGATACTCAGAATAAAACATGGGACATTCAGAAATGCATTAAAAAGTACAAAATCTTTGAGAAGGGGACAGAGACCTAGCCATGAAGAGGAATAGGAAGCATTTGTTGGGGTTAGCATTTTGAGGAAGGGAGGGAGGATGTTACCCAAAGATCTCCACCTACTCAGTGGTCACCCACAGTGACCTCCTGTCTCCCCACAACCAAGATCAACGCCTCACCCCACCACCAGCTCATCTAGAGGCTGAGGTCTGCGAAAGTCTCTTCCTCGCTGTACCTCCTGACGCATGGGCTCACCGTCCACACTTCCCCACCAAAAAACCCCGCCTTGCGGTCTCCCGGGTCCCTGTGGGAAGGCGCATGCACGTCCTGACAGTGGTATCCAAAGCCCTCCAGACGTCCAGCTGGGAGCACGTCCCACACACGCACCTGCAATGAGGTACTCCTTCTTGCCTCCAACGTCCAGTGAGACCCCACACACGGCCGAGGAGGGCGCCGTGTAGATGAACTCGATGTCCTTCTCAGGCCCTTTGAACATCTGAAAGAGAGCCCGCGAGGCAACGTCAGCAGGAGGCTGGCTCCGTCCCACTAGAATATGACATATCAGTCACCCGGAAGGGACTCCCTCAGGCTCCACATCTGAAAATGAGGCCATTCCAGAGGATCTGGGGAGGGTCTCTGTATTTCCAGGTGATTCAGATCCCAAATGGGAAAACCACTAAAAAGAGTTTCCAAGGTGAGGATCCATTTCATGGTGACCCCACATGTGTCATAGCCACGATTTTCCCTGAATACATTTGCAGCATGGTGTAGCGCTGTGGGATAAGCACTGGACTCGTAACCACAAGGTTGGCAGTTCAAACCCACCAGCTGCTCCTTGGAAACCTCCATACAGGGTCTCTATCGACTGGACACAGCCTTTAACAACAACATATAATAACTACATAGAGAGAGTGATGGCTCTATAGGATAAGCACTGTATTGTGAAACAGAAGGTCGGCAGTTCAAGCCCACCAACGGCTCCCTGGGAGAAAGATGAGGCTTTCTGTTCCTACAAAGATGTGCAGTCTCAGAAGCCCTAAACAGGATCACTATGAGTGGGCACTGACTTGGAGGCACTTAACAAAAATTACCACATAAATGCAAACGTAGAAAGATCCTATCCAAGCATTTCCCTTCCTACCTGCACCTACTCATCTTACATGTCCATCTGTGTATCCGCTTGTAGATGACTGCCATTACAGCTAGTGTAGGATTGTGTATGTAACTGGATTTTCATTGGTCTTTGGATGGATCACTTTGGCTTCTTTCTATAAGCGATCGATATTTTCTACTACTTAAAAAAATTTTTTTTATTGCGAATTGAGTGATGGTTTACAGACATGATCATCAGTTTTACGTTCAATAAATCACACACTTTGTTTCACCTCAATGATTGCAATCCCTCCCTGCAACAACGTTGTATCACTTCCTCCCCATGCTTCCTGTTTCCATCCCACGCTCCTTCCCATCACTTCTCAACTTTGTTCTTAGGAAAATGTTGCCCTTGTGATCATGAGTGATTGACCATTCCATGGTGAGCTCACCTTACTAGTGTTGTTGTCCCCCCTATAGACCTAGCTACTGCGTGGCTGAAACTTGGCCCACGAGGGTCCATTCTTTCCAGCCCTGAAGGGTGATCAGGAGCCATAGTCTCAAGTTTCTCTAGTATCTTTCTGACCAGCAAAGCCCAGTCTTTGTTTTAAAAATAATTTTGAGTTTTGTTCCACATTTTCTCCCACTGCCTCCAGAACCTTCTAATGGGATCCCTTTCAGAGCAGTTGGTAGTAGTAGCTGGGCACCATCTAGCTCTTCTGATCTCAGAGTCGTGGAGACTGATGGTCACGTGATCCATGAGGTCACTGGACTAACTGATTTCAAACCTCTTCAATTTTCATCATTCTTCTTTCCTCCAAACACAGAGAGACCAATTGTTGTACCTCAGATGGCTGCTCATGAGCTTTTAAGATTCGAGATGCTACCCACCACAGTAGGATGTGGAACGTTGTCTTTGTGGACTATGTTATACCAGTTGACCATGGTGTCCCCTGAGCCCCCAGGCCCAGCAACTCATTGCCTTAATATATTTGATAATATCTAAGAAGACAACTTCTTATTTCTATAACAAAATTAAATGTTGACACCTACAACCGCTACAATGTTACAAAGTTGCCTTTCCACCTGGAGTCTAGAATTTTCTTCTCCCCCTTAGACCAACTAGTTCTTGCCAAAGATAACAGTATTGGTCCATTCCACCCCACTGGTGGGTCCTCTCCTTCAACCTCCCAACTTGTGTTCTTTCATGAGCTTAAATCTTTCTGGAAAAACAAAGGTTTCTTACCATACGTCCTTGAGCATGGACAACTCTTAAAAATGAACAACTTGCCTTTCAGTCTGTGGGCCCTATCTCATTCCCACTTGATGGAACTCATCTTCGTAACTGCCCAGACTGTAGCCTCCATCTCTTTTCCAACTCCCTTCTTTCTGGAAGTTGCCCCTAATCCCTCCAAGTCCACAGAAATATCCTTTCTCAAAACCCCTTACTTGTTAGAATTAAAGCCAACAAGGCCAAGTCTAGAGGATTGTTGTTGTTGTTGTTGTTGTTAAGTGCCATCGAGTCGGTTCCGACCCATAGCGACCCTGTAACAGGGTTTCCGAGGGTGTAAATCTTTACGGGAGTAGAAAGCCTTATCTTTCTCCCGCGGAGCAGCTGGTAGTTTTGAACTGCTGACCTTATGGTTCACAGCCCGATTCGTAACCACTACGCTACCAGAGCTCCTTAAGTCTAGAGGATAGGTTGCTATTTAGGGTTGCTGCTGCTACATGCGTCGAGTTGATTCTGACTCACAGCGACCCTGTCTAGGGTTTCCGAGGCTGTATAACTTCCCAGAAGCAAAAAGCCTCAATTTTTTTCCTGGGAATGGCTGGTGGATATGAACTTCTGGATCTTGTGGTTAGCAGATCAACACGTAACCCACGACACTACCAGGGTTCCTTGCTATTTGTGGGTACTTAGGTCAAAATTTCTCACATATCAACGTAGGGTCCCAGTGGCCAGGACCAAGTCACTGGCACCTTTGAACTTTAATAGTCACACAGCCACTGAGAGGCACTCATGCTATTAGGAACTTGGTGACTTAAAGTTCAGTCAATCCTCCCTCATTCTTAGCCAACGAAATCAAGGTAACACACTTCTGAAAGACCCCCAGGGGGAGCACATTGCTTTTACACAGATTTCTAGTCACTGACTAGAGAAGGACAATCGTGCCTCTCATGGTTGGAAGGCCTTGCTTTCGGCCCCACAGGTTGAGGGGCTGTAGCCCAGGGACCCAGCAGCCCCTTGGCGGGAAGACCGGGTCCTTCTGCTCCATCCTCAGGCCTCTTGCAGGAGGACCTGTTACCTTGTAATCCCTCCAGTTGCCCCAGAGCTCTGTCCCAGCGAGCGGCCAGCATTACCTTTATTTGCTTGACTTCATATTGAATTCTTTTGATAGGGTTGCCATAGATGTCATTCCCGGAGTCCACCTCCTTCTCGCTGACCGCCTTGGCCCGGATCACTGTAAGACACGCAGACACACAGAAGCAGGTTAGGGCTGGGTGGTCCCACTCCGAGGTGTGGAGAGACCTCCGGGCCTGCAGGGGGCGCTCTGGGGAGACAGGCGGGAGGGTGCCTGACCCCTCAGCTGTTGATGTTGTGTGTCTTCTGTAATAGATTCCAACTCATAACAACCCCACATTTACAGAGTGGAGCTGCCCCATAGGGTTTCCTAGGCTGTAATGCAGCGTAGTGGTTACCAATCGGGCTGCGAACCTTAAGGTCAGCAGTTCGAAACTACCAGCCGCTCCACGGGAGAAAGATGAGGCTTTCTACTCCCGTAAAGATTTACACCCTCGGAAACCCTGTACAGGGTCGCTATGGGTCGGAACCGACTCGACGGCACTTAACAACAACAACAACAATCTTTATGAGGAGTTCTGGGGTGGGGCTGTAGGATAAGCAAGGTTGGTTTGAATCTCAAGGTCAGCGGTTCAAACTCACCAGCCACTCCTTGGAAACCCTATACAGGGTTGCTATGAGTCGGAACGGACTCGACCACACTTAACAGCAACAATCATGAATGCAGATTGCCAGCTCTCTCTCCTTCAGAGCTGGTGGGCAGGCTCTAACTGCCAATCTTTGCGTTAGCAGCAAGGCGCTCAACAGTTGCAAAACCAGGGCTTACCCTTCATCTAAGGAGCTCTGGTAGCGTAGTGGTTATGAGTCGGGCTGTGAACCTCAGGGTCAGCAGTTCTAAACTACCAGCTATTCCACAGGAGAAAGATGAGGTTTTCTGCTCCCGTAAAGATTTACAGCCTCGGAAACCCATGCAGGATCACTATGAGTCGAAACCCACTACAGGGCGCATCACCAGAATCCTTCATCTAAAGATAGCCAAAAAACCCTGACACACCCCAAGCCCATTGCTGCCGAGTAGATTTGGACTGCTAGTGAGTGCCCCCATGTGACGGAGCAGAACTTTCCTGTATGGTTTCCTAGGCTGTCAGGTTACCTACCAGCTCTTTCTCTCATGAAAATGTTGGCTGAGTTGGACCCACCAATCTTCCCACAAGGAGCGGAGTGCATAACCACTGCGTCACCAGGGCTCCTAATCCCTCATCTAAAAAACAAACCGCAAACCACTGCTATTGAGTTGACTCCGATTCATAACCACCTCATGTTCCAGAGTAGAACTGCCCCATGGGGTTTCCTAGGCTTTAAGGGCGCTTTCTCCCACGGAGATGCTGGATGGTTAGCAGCTGAGTGTTTTTAATCATTATGTCACCAGAGCTCCTTGCCCTGTCTGCAAATGAGGAACAAGATGTTCCCGACCATCAACATGACACCTGATGTCATCCCTGCTGAGGGGGCAGCCCCCTACGACCCCTTCTAGTAACACGATTCTTCAGCAAGAACCCGAGGCTGAGTCTGAGTCCCTTCTTATCGGAAAATGGGGTTTCACTGTGGGAAGCCGCTTTCTGCTGAGCGTGTGTGCTCTGGGGCTCATGTATATTTCTCCAGTGTGCCTTTTGTGGTGGGAGGAAGCAGTAAATGCAGGAATTGCAAACCAGAAATGCACTCCTGGTCATTCTGTTATGGCCCCACCTCCACTCTGCTGCCTACTGGCATCAGAAAGGGCCCACCTTAAAGGGGCCCATCGTATTGAGACTAGGGGTCTTACATCTAAAAGGAGACCCCTCCTAGTCTGTTCTGAAAGTAGAAAATATCCTACAGATGATTCTTTATAACACACATTCTACCGGGGCAGATAACCTCAAGTCTGGAGGTTCAAACCTACCAGCTGCTCCTCAGGAGAAAGATGAGGCTGTCGGTTCCCATAAAGATTTGCCAACTCAGAAACCCTACGCAGCAGTCCTGGTCTCTTCTACAGAATCATTATGAGTCGGAATGGGCTTGATAGTTGTTGTTAAGTGCCTTCGAGTCAGTTCCGATTCCTAGCCACCCTGTATGGGGGTTTCCGAGGAGTGGCTGGTGAGTTGGAACCATCAACCTTGTGGGTCAAACTAACCTTGCTGTCAAATGTTTATTCCAGTGCCACCCCAGGACTGGCAGTGGGATTTTATTCTATCAGGGACAGGACTGAGGAAAGGTCAGAACATTTATAACTCAAATTCGGTTGAGGACGCAAACACCAAGGACAGAGGACGATACCCAGGACCATGACAAGAAAGGAAAGAGAAGGGTAAGAGGCCAGGTTGGGAATGTTCCAGAATGTTCTGGAATGTTTGCTAGAGCCAGAGGCTACTGATAGGTCTTGTGCCACACAGCTTTCTGCTGGCAATTAAGCCACGACTCTGCTCCACTCCCAGACACCCAACAGCGCGCGGGTCAGAAGTTCTCAGGGTCACTCGGGCTGGACAGGCCCCCTCCCTTTTTTCATTTTAGGGCTTATCGGGTTGTTGGCATGACTTGTTTTAATGGCTTTAAAAGCTTTGTCCTCCAAGCTCAGCAGGCTAGGGTCACTCTGGGTGAGAGCTATGTTAGCAGGGATATGATCAGAACCAGAGAAATACAGAGCAAGCAGTGCCAGGCTCAAACGAACCCTGCACCCAAAGTGGTCAGCATGAATCTATCTCTTGGATGCCCCTGGCCAAGGCTGCATCTGCCTCCAGGGGCAGGGAGGCCCAGCACCTAGGTCCTTCATCTGTGTCCATTCCCCAACCCCAGAAATGTTACCTGGATCCTAACCGTAGCTCCCCCTCACAGCCCCGGACTCTGTTCTGATCTGGTCTGCAGTTGGGCTGTCACACTTGGCCAAGGCCACACATCCCTGCTTCCCCAGTTCAGCCAGGTCCAACCTGCAGAGACACCTGCAGAAACGGGCATCCTGGGGCTCTTTCCTTATTCCCCGACCCCCACAAGCCACCTCCCCAGCTGCCACTGGTTGTCTTTTCACAACCAAGTCCCTCCCAACTCAAACATCTTCCTTGGCAGCCCACTGGCCCCCAATCAGCCTAAAAGATAAGACCCTTTGTGATCTGCTGCTGCCCAGCCCCCTCACCTCTCACGCCCCTGCCCTGGACATACCAATTAAGCCATGACTCTGCTCCCAGTAAAGATTTACAGCCTCGGAAACCCTGTACAGGGTCGCTATGAGTCAGAACTGACTCCATGGCACATGACAACAACAACAACCGCTCCTGGTGTGGCGCTGTAGCAAAGCACTGGACTGTTAATTGCAATTTCAGTGGTTCAAACCCACCAGTTGCTCCTCAGAAACCTTATACAGAGTTTCAATGAGCTAGAACCGACTCAATGACACTTAGCAACAACAACTGAACACACCAAGTATGTCCTCCTACCTTAAATGTGGTCTCCCTCGACCTGCCTAGAGAACTCCTATTCATCCTTCAAAACCCAGCTTAAGTAGTCCTTTTCTGTCTTGCGCTGGGAAGTTCTGTCCTCCTGCAGCACTCGGTATGCTCCTCATTGCTCGTCCTTTCTGCTGTTAACACGTGCCTGCCTATCTGCTCGGGGACCAGGGACTTTGCAGTGGGCAAACGCTCTACTTAGTAACCCCAGGACAATCAGGGCTCCTGAATGTCTGCCAGAGCCAGCAGCTCAGCCCAAGTGAGGTGTGTCTACTGTATGGAGCAAGGTTGCTGGGAGAGTGCTGATGATACCAGTTTGGAAATGGTCCAGACTGTGTCATTAAGTTTGCTCTTGGTGTCACGTAGTCACTGACTTGCAATACTGAACACACAAAATCCAGGAAGTACAATCCTGCTGGGCTTCGCCAGACTCTCGCAGTACCTTTAATTCTACATCTTTTTTTTTTTTTTTTTAAGTTTTTATTATGAATTGAGTGATAGTTTACATGGGAGAACATCAGGTTTACATTCATCCCTCGTATTTCGTTTCATTGCAATGATTACAATCCCCTTCATGCATCATCATTCAACAGCATTTGCTTTCATTCCCTCTGTTTTTTGGGTTTTTTTGGATGTACACTGAAGCACTCAGGAATACATAACCATTCAAACAACTAAGGGGTATACCCTGCAATCCTGCCCCCTGGCCGCCAGCATACAGCCCTTCTCCTTCCCTGAATCTAGAGACCCCAGCCGGTCCATCTTTCCACACCATTGTCTCTGCCTCCATCTCTGGTGTCAGTGTTTCTCTGGATAGGGTCCCACACTCCACTCTTCTCCCTTGATGGTCTCAGGGTCCTTCTCTCCTGGACTGCAAGATCAACTACTCCCCTCCTTTTTCTAAATCTTTCTTGGGACTGACTTTCAGCGGTCTACTACTTTGTACAGTGCTCAGCCACAATCCAGCCAACATTGATGCATGCGTGTCAGAGTAGAACTGGGCTCCGTGGGATTGTTAGTGGCTGATTTTCGAGGGGGAGCTCACTGCCAGGCTGTTTTTCCTAGGCACCAGTGGGCAAACACAAACCTCTAACTTTTTGATCAGCATCTGGACGCAGTTACCATTAGCATCCTCAATGAACACACAACTGGTGGAGAGTAAGAATTTCTCCCCACCAGCCACAAGAGTACACTATATGCCATGCACCAAACCAAGTCCTCATTGGAAAAGGTGGTTTCAGGGCTCCGCCTCCCTCCAGTTGTCTACCTGCTGGGGTTCCTTTGAGCCCCAGTTGCTCACACTGGTAACGGGGATAAAAACAGCAGTTCTGGCACCACATAGGGTTACTGTGGGGATTAGGGGGCTCGTGCCCAATGTGTGCAATGCCTGGCACGTAAACGCACGCTGAGCACAACAGAACAAAGCCGCATTGTAGTGAGAAAAACCAAATTGAATCTGTTACGACCGGGTCGATGCCAGCTCACAATGACCTCGTGAGATCAGAGTACAATTTACTAGAATACTTTCTTGGCTCTGTAATCTTGTTGTTCTTTAAATGGGCTCTGATGGCACAGTGGGTTAAGTACTGGACTGCTCACTTCAAGATGAGCAGTTCAAACCCACTGGCGTCTAGGGAGAAAGATGAAGCCATCTACTCCCGTACAGATTGACAGTCTTGGAAA